TCTATCACTAATGCAGACACACTGGGCAAGTCCTTTGGCCTCTCTGAACCTTCAGTTCATAGAAGAGGTTGGACCAGATAATCTTCAAGGTCCCTATTGACTCCAGAATGTAGAATTTTAGGATTCTGGTGTTTGCTCTTCCACTCACCATCTTCTAGGGTTTATTGGGTTTGACAAGGAGTCCGTGTACGGTATCATGGGAGTGAAAGAAACTGCTATGAATAATGATACCTGGACAGTGGGTGGACACTGGGACCATCCCAGGTGCATGAGAATGTGTGGTCACCCTTATTTTAATTCAATCTTTGTTGGCTGGGCTTCAAGGTCTAGGTTGCTACTATGGCAGCAGAGAGAAGGCTATTTGAGACTCGCGGTCCAGGCTGATATGGAATTGCAAGGAGGCCATACATACGGGTTCCCAGAGCAGCTGATACATGCCACCACCATGCAGGTGACACACCCGGTCCCTACCTGCTCCTAAACAAGAGGCCCATGCCTGGAGTTGGCGCAGCCTCCCAGCCGCACTCTGCCGAGTCCAGACACCCTCCCTACTCCCCAGTGTTCCATGATTAGTCGGGGAAGAAAATACTTTAAGTCCTTTTGGGCTCGAGAACACAGCTCCATGCTATCATCAGGAAAACTTGGCCATAGAGAAAACAGACACGTGAATGAACTATCCCTTACTCCAAACGCTGGTCACGCCGGTCATTGTCTCCCCATCACGCTCGCCTTTCCTCTCACCCGGATGAACGTCCCCACTGAAAGGTGCCTGGCTGCACTATATTCATAAGCTTTCCTTCCCATCCCCGTGGAAGCCAGAGCAAGGGGAACAGGAAAGTTGGCAGAGAGGGGGCTCCCCAGTTCAATCACTTTTAGAGTTTTGAACTTGCCTCCCCCGAGATCTGTAAGAATAATGAACATTTCTTATGAATACGCACAATTCACAAAGCCCTTTGGAAGCTCACAGTCCCATCTCTCCTTCTAAAGTTTGGAATGTTCTTGCCTCAAAAAGGCAACCCCAGACCAAGCCAATAGTCATTAGCTTCCCGGGCTTGCAAAGACAGTTGCCACATCTTCGAGTATCTCTGGAAATTTACTATTTCCAGGCACATCTGGGAGACCTAGCTCTTGAAAAACATAAAAAAGTCACAGCTGAAATTGCAGGTTTGCCTGTCAAAAGGTTAAAAATAGCCCGCTACCGCCCGGGGCCGGTGCCTCGGGCTGACAGAGTGAAGTGGACAGGGAGAAGGTAGCGGCTCTCTTGACCCTCAGTAATCACCACAAGTGGCTGTTGAAAATGTCCCTGCGCCTCTGCCTCACATTGCACAGTGACCAGAGCCGACCCGACCACAAAGCTCCGTGCATGCTGCGGCCGAGAGAGCACGTGGGCCTGACCGGAGGGGTGACAGGTTAGAGAAAGGACCGTAAACTCCAGTGGGCCGTGGGGGCCGTGTCGCCTGTCTCACGGCTGGTCCTCGTGGATGCCCCAGGGTTGCCCTGGGCGATCGGCACTGCCATTTCTTTGGACGTTGGGCCATCGAATGAAACTGGCTTTCCGAGAACATAAGTATTTGCCAGGAGACCGGAAAAGGGAAAGGAACGAGGACATTGAGTGAAACAGGAAACGGCTCTGACTAAGGAACAGAGAGGCCAGAGCCACGTAACCCCCCATTCGGGGTTGTGAATCCTCGGTAAGTGGTTTTCCCCAACTTCAAGCCTTTTAACACTTTGGCCGATTGAGCAACACCTGCTTCTACTGGATGCCTGACATGCCTGCCCCGTTGCAGAGGCAGCCGGGATGGCGCTTTCTCTCCTGTCCTTCACGGTTCTTGCAGAAAGGCTCTCACAGCGCGGGGCCCGGCGCCGAGCGACCAGGCCGACGACGTGCCCACGAAGCGCAGGGGCCGGTCCTTCAGGCCAGTGGGTCAGGGAGCCCCGCACGAGCCAGAGAAGGGCCCCAGCCCGGAGGGAACCACGTCACAAAGCGCCTTCCGGAGCAGCCCCCGGGAGGAGCGGGGGTGGGCAGGGGCTGTGGAAGCGAGCGGCCTCCTCACCGCAAGGCCTCGTCCTTGTCCCGCGCGGTGTGTGCGCTGCGCTCTTACCCCGGCCGCGGCGCCACCGAGCGGCGGGCGTCAGCCGGCGCAGACCTGTCGGAGCTCGGTGGCGGTACCGCGGCCTGATGGGAAGGACAAGGGCTTGGCGGTGTGTGGTCCTCGGATGAGCCTGATGCCCTCCTGTGCTCTCTCCCGCCCTGAGCTGTAGGACAAACGAGCTTCGTGCCAAGTAAACACGAATGTGGACGGGCACCTCCAGCGGTTGCAGACCCCGGTTCTGCAGGCAGGGGGCAGGGACCCCGGTTCTGTAGGTAGTGAGTGGGCAGGGACCCCGGTCCTGCACGCAGGGGGCAGGGACCCCAGTTCTGTAGGTAGTGAGTGGGCAGGGACCCCGGTTCTCCACGCAGGGGGCAGGGACCCCGGTCCTGCACGCAGGGGGCAGGGACCCCAGTTCTGTAGGTAGTAGTGGGCAGGGACCCCGGTTCTCCACGCAGGGGGCAGGGACCCCGGTTCTGCACGCAGGGGGCAGGGACCCCGGTTCTGCACGCAGGGGGCAGGGACCCCGGTTCTCCACGCAGGGGGCAGGGACCCCGGTCCTGCAGGTAGTGGGCAGGGACCCCGGTTCTCCACGCAGGGGGCAGGGACCCCGGTCCTCCACGCAGGGGGCAGGGACCTCGGTCCTGCAGGCAGGGGGCAGGGACCCCGGTCCTGCACGCAGTGGGCAGGGACCCCGGTCCTGCAGGCAGGGGGCAGGGACCCCGGTTCTCCACGCAGGAGGCAGGGTCGTCGATGTGTGGGCCTGACCTGCTAGAGACCAAGTAGGAGACTCATGTCCATCTGGCGGAGGCAGCTTAGTCAGGACCCACGGCGTGTGCAGTGAAGTGACGCTGGATTCCGAGGACACCATCGCCCTCCTGCAGCGCGCGGCGCACTGGGCCGCGGAGGGGCTCGGTCTCTGCAAAGGCCACGCTGAACCGTGGCAGGGGATGGTCCGCGCGAAGCCCTCGTTCACACTGTCCGCCTCGTGTGACCCAAAGCAGCACCAGTCACAATCCTCCTCCTTTTTAGGTTGAAATAGACACATTTCATTGCACTGGACAGCTCAGTTTTTTTTGTTTTTGGCTTGAGAGCTGTCGCTCACTCCGCAGCCACAGCGGCAGGGAGTCAGAGCAGACGCGGCCAACTTTCTGCCCCAACACCGCCCGACAGCCCGTGGGATCTGTGGATTGTGACCACCACCTTCGTTTGTGCAACTCCACTTTCCCTCGCGTCTCCTTCCATCCTCACCAGACCCATCCTCCCAAATCCTGAAGACACTGTCTCCCTCCCCAGCGCCCCCACCACGCTTCCATACGGTGGTCTCGGCAGGACCGTTAAGAGAAATCCCCGAAGCCCAGGAGCCCGAGGGGTCCCCGTCTAAACTCCAGCTCCTTGTTGGAGAAACAGAAGACTAAGCTGATTTTATTCAGATACACATTGTGTCTCTTACCCTGCTCAGCATTAAATCAGGAGGGGAAACAGCAAGTGGGCGCTAAAGGAAAGCTTCCTCACGGAGTCCTGGGCTGAGGCAGAAACCGTTCTGTGCTCCGTTTATTCAGGGGGACAAGAGCTCAAACGGAGCCTCAGGTTGGCCCAAGAGTCGTGGCTTTGCCCAGGTTTGCAGAAAACTATAAGGACGTGAAGCCGTTTTCCCAGTTTCCCGGTGCGCGGCGGTGGCTTGGCTGGGGTTGAGGGCCCGGAGCCTCCTCGTGGCCAGGCCGGCTCCCTGACCACTGGACCGCGCAGTCCCTGCCGAACGTGCACTCGGCGAACCTCAAGCTCCGGGCCTGAAGGAAAAGATTTTCCAAAAACAGAGCTCTCTTTGTGAACAATTCAGCAAAAATTCTCTTTCCAGCTGTGAGTCGGGATTCGTGTTGCAAATGTTGGTGTTAATTAAAAACATCCACCTTCTACGGTTTCGACAAGGAAAGAGCACCGTGCGGGATGTGTTCCCAAGCACTGCTCTCCAAAGCACTTATAGATACGGATTCATTTATGACGCGGGTCGCTGGGCTCTGACAGATACGATCATTCCCAATTTCCAGCCCCAGGGAAAGAGCCGGGGCTGAGGAGAAGGGGGTGAAGGG